TGTTGATAAGGCAACTTTCGTTGAGCAAGTTGGATCCAAGAATGGAGAGTCAATCCACCAATAAAAGCAAATGAACATATATCGACGTAGCCTGCGGTTTTAAAATTAAGCCTATTGGAATTGATAGGCGAAGTGAACATTTGACTCATGTCTGAACGGTTAAAGATGCATACCTGGAGCAATATTAACAAACGAATCACTCTTACTGCACAGAATGAAGTTCATAGAACATTTGCTTGATTCCGAAAGCGCATGAATGATCCGAAAATGAGCTCCTGCTAAATCAGCATACCTAAGTCAAGCACGCGAAGTTTCAATGCAAGCATAAGCAGTACGCCGAGTATGCAGTACCGACGTTTTGCTGTCGCGTAACCACCGGGTCGCAAATGGGATAAGGATACTACGAGATTCGCCCAGTCAATACGCAGGCCCGAACCCGCGCCTAATGATTACAAGGCAGGCTTGTGATCCTTAACGATACGAGCAGGCAAATTACAGCAGTATAATCAATCACAAACACCAGATTTCGACGTGATATATCAAGCAATTGCGAATAGCGCTCTTGTATGGAGGCAATAACGAGTACGCTGCCTTCACACAAACACTAAGAGTTTAGAAAAAGCATGAAGAGCGCAAGCTCCAGGCGATCCGCTTCATCATATTGCTTCGTAAGGTATAGGTGTTTTAGCCTCCGGCGCCACAGCGAACGGAATCAGAGCCATCCTGTAAAGGTGTTGTGACGATGACTGCTTACACCGTGATATTCCTTTCAGACGTAAGCAATCGACGCAGTTCATGTTAAGCGAATCGATCCAATGTTACCGTATATGATTGAATACAAGCCCATCCGCAGATAAGCCGACAGCAAAACTTTGAAATATCAAATTTGTCCAGAACGGTAAGTCCTTATATTAGCCGACCCCAAAAAATTCAGCAAAAGGAGAAAGGAAAATGTTTCCCCACGATTTTGACTTCATCGCTACCTGCTCTCACTTGAGCGTGTTCAAGCGTAAGCGTAAAGGGTTATGATCGCGGTTAAAAGAGCGTAGAGCCGTCAGAACAGACTTTCATCGCATCGCTGACGTCACATGATCCAGCTGAGAGGGAAGGTGCTTACATTTCGTGCGATCATCCAAGGCCGTGGAAACGTGTAAAATGTCTCAACAGAAACGATGTTCATATGTTGCCGGCTTTAAATTGAAAGTTATCGCTTTTTCCGAGCAATCTAATAATTGTATGACTGCACGCCATTTCACCGTGAATAAAAAGCAAGTGAGATAATGGCAAAAGGAAGAGTTAGAATTGTCACTAATGCCTGTAGGCAAGAAAGCAAGACGCGGTAGAATAATCATATCGCCTGCACTGGAGGAAAAGTTAGCGCAGTGGGTTATGAAGCCGCGGCACAGCAAGTTGTTACCCGGACGAACATTCGGGTCAGGGCGCTCGCAATATTAAAATACCCTAAATTCCAGCCAACAAAACCAGTAAATTTGTTTGCTTCCTCAGGATGGTGCAATCGTTTTATGAACCGATTCGATGGATCTGTACAAAACGAGTCCAGAAACGGCCGAAGGTATTGGACATTAAAGTCGAATCTTTTCAGAGGTTCGTGATTCAGCTGAGAAAGCAAAATGATTTTAAACTGTCGCAAGTTGGAAATATGGACGAGACGCCCGTGTGCTTTGATATGCCTTCAAATCGCACGGTGGAGCAGAAATGCGCTAGCATTATTTTTGTAGAGAATACGAGACATGAGAAGACACGGTTCACAGTAGTTTTGGAGTGTTGGGCAAATGATTCCCGTGTGTCACATTTCATTATTTTAAGAGTAAGACGCTGCCTAAAGGAGCGAAGCTCCCAAGCGGCGTTTGTGCGGGCTCACGCGAAAGGATGGATGGACGAGAGCAGCACTTTAGACTGGCTTAATACAGTTTGGGGAAAGCGAAACGGTGACCTTTAAAAGAAACCATCTATGCTGACTTGGGAGTTTTTTTAGGGCACACGAAACCGAGAAGGTGCAGGAACGACGCTGTGAGCTGAAAACGTCCGTGGCTTTAATTCCCGGTTGACTTACATAAATCCTGCAGCCACTGGATATCTCTGTCAATAAGCCCTTTAAAGATAGCCTTCGGGCCACATGTGTTGAATGGACGGCATTGTCCTAGCTAGTGTTGAGAAAGAGAGGCCATTTGAAAATTTTTGACATTATTACAATTGCAGACTGGATGTAGAAGGCGTCGCTAGATATTCCACCAGAAATTATTGTCTTATCATCCAAAAAATGCTGCATCAGTAATGCTATGGACGGAAGAGAGGATGATGTCACTCTTGAGGAACAGCGAAATTGAAGAGGACGATATCCACCCTGACGTCTCAACGACAGACGAGGAGCTCTAGAAACCGTTTGGAGATTCTGACTAGGACTAGTTCAGAAGGATTCGAGTAACTGTACTATCATTGTGCAGCGTTTGGATATGGGAGCCTATAAAAGCTACCGGTACGTGCTGTTGTGTCATGTTTTCCCATACTATAGCGTGTGATGATGTTCGATTTTGTATAAGCAGTATGTTTCTGTTACTGCCATCCGTCGCGAAAGTCAAACGTGCAATATACCGAGAACTGTCGACACAAACCTAATGTGTCTACCTATAGGCACTTCAAATCCCCTCCTGGAATACCGTCCATCACTAGCGGGTGGTGCTAAGTGGAGATAGGGCCAGAGGTGTGCAGTGAATTCCTGGGTGGATTTTGTATTTGATCTTTTCACATTGCATATAATCTTTTCATAAGTTAACCCCCAACAAAAGAGATAGAGAACAGCCCAAAAATTATCAGCTTATATTCGGTAATACACTGTACTTACAATGTGCGTTATCGAAGGCGTACAGTACACGATTTATCCCGACCATACTCACTTGTATTGCACTTTTGCGACCAATGTTCTCTAAGTTCATAGCATGCACAATAGTGAACCATCAGCGCTTCTCGGAATGTATGTTGGCTGCCTGTTTGCAAATCATGTTCTCGAAATACAAACACCCCCACTACTCTCATATCTCTTCGGAGTTTGTGCATGAGGATCGGGCGGTAAAAGCCGCAAAGAAGCTGTCTCGTCGATGCCAACAGCTGTTTGTGATTATGTGCCGCAGACAGGATGTAGGCACTTTCATTGCGAATGTTTTCAGTTCGATTTTACACTATATGCCCATATTCTCCTCACACTACTCATCAATCATTATGTTACTCTGGCCATACGATATTTAAGCATCCGTACAGATTACTAATGTAATCCGATGTTGATAACGATCCATGGAGATCATCAATTGAATTGCGGCCTCTGGGTTTGGGCTGATGAAAAAGGTGTTCGATTAGGACACCTTTGTGGTAGATGAAGTAAAGAGTGATCTCTTAGTTAAGGTGTTCCAATCAATTCAGCATATGGCCACAGCCGCTTTGAAGCAAACAAATAGGGACTTAATGGTAAGTGGCAGCAGTCTATACCGCAGCCAATACCGATACAACTTACTACATTCAACGGTAAGTTAACAGGCATCACTTCATTTAACATCAAGATCCACCCGGGTTTACTTCACTTCGATGTGCAGTCTACGAAACACTACACGATAAGGGTGACGTTAGACTCGGAGCGACAATATCTAACCTATCAGCAAACAAAAGCTTGGGGTGTCTCGAGCCCACGAGATGCACCTCATCAGTGTAAACGCGATTTACGCCTTTTCACCAGACATTGTTGAGTAACGACTCGGTTCGAGGGCGTGGTCAATCTGAGGACTGCAGGGTCGGGATACTCATCTCTCGTATGCACGCCCCGGTCTTACTCGCTCGCTCGCACTAAGTATGCCTGTCCTATAAGAGTAGAACTGAGAAGGAAAAAGGAGAATCATCTGTACCGCGCGTCCCAAGACAACGGATATCCACGAAACTTTATTAGAAGCAAGATCCCAGAGATAAACGTGTGGTGTTTCCACACACGTTGCTGAGCTGCCAGCAAGATAGCTACATCCACACAGAATCAAGGTGGCATATAAATCGAATACTACTCTGAGAGAGCAGCTTACAAGACCGAATGACAAAGTCAAACAAAGCAGTCAAAATCATGTAATCTACCAGTTAAACTGCAGCGAATGTGATAAGCACTACATTGGCCAAACAAGAAAACTTTCCACAAGGATCACAGAGCATAAAAAGGCCATACGAAGACATGGTCCGAATTATTGGTTTAGGTAGCTGGAAAATGTAAAGATTTTAGCATGTGAGATTACGAAGTAGGTTAAAGAATTCTTAGAAGCATGGTACTCTCACCAAACAACAAGTTGATTTGGACGCCATCTATGTAAAATCGAGCAAAGAAACACCATCGCAGTCGAATACCCTTAATGGAAGAGGATACCATACGAGCGGCTCAGCAGCCTTTTAAGCCGAGGAGGAAAACGGGCCATAGTCACGAGGCATGGGTCGAGGAGGCCATTTGCAAACTCAACAAGTCCAAACAACCAATGACCTATAAAAATGCACGCGCGCGACTACCCAGATCACGGTGACGAAGATAGTAGTAACTGAGTCTACTGCGCGCCGATGATAGAACTACTAATGATTATCAGTGCAAACTAAACTCTCCGAATATGGTACCAGTGGAAGAATGCGCCCGTGTAACGAATAATCTTGTGGTGAGAGCACGGATTTACTTGTCGTATTCCAGGACGTTTCTAAATGAACTAGATCAGACGTTATATCTCGAGCTGGTGGCCTAAAATCCCATCAGGCACTCGATAGCTTAGCGAGCGTAAACCCGTCCCGAAGCACATTCGTAACACCGCGCACTAGGCTACGCCATCGTACACCTGGCTGTTCATCATCATCATCGGCTAGTAAGTGAAGATCGACGATGTAAATGAATTTATGCTCGAGTGAGTTGTCCATTACCGGTGGGTTGCATTGGAAACGAATGTCCATTCAGTGTTTCCCGAGATTTGGAGTAGATTTCTAACTGAATATGGCTGTGACGACGTGTATCGTAAGCTAAACATAAACCAGAAAAGTTCAAAAGTTTTAATCTTCGAACAAGGCAGTAGATCGCAGAAAAACAAAGTGAACACCAGCGACGCTCTGTTGACGCCACGTAAATGATATTTACATCCACGAAAGGGAGGGGTCCAGTAAACTTATTCCTCAATAGTTGGTAACCAAAAGGAAGTCTGGTTAGAACCGGTAGCAAGCATGGCGTATCGTGGATTGAAGGCCAAAGTGTGGATAGCAGCGTTTGGTAAGTGAGTGGCGGTCTCATAGCCGGGCAAACTGGCAACCCGCACTCCAGTTTCCACGGACCAGATGTGAACCATGCCATCAGGGGATCCAACGAGAACAAACAGACTATCCGGAGTGAAACTGGCATCCAAAGCCTGTCGATCTGCGTTGGAAATGATCTGGGAAGCGTGAAAATGGATGAGTTGCATGCACGCAGGAGGAAGTCGATATACAGTAATATGCGGAATTTAGCCAAAGGTACGGGCCCAAAAGCTTGTATACATATAGAAATAAGATTTGTGCTAAATTTTATGCCATACATGTGCATAGCCAAACCTCGCGTTTCTATATATGACACCTTGACACTCAAAATCACGGTAACGGATGTTCTATGTCCCAGGTTCCATAATATCTTGCGAATAGTGAAGTGAGACATGGGAGGACTCCATATGATAGAAAACGGGTTCAAACTATTGTGAGGAAGAGTAATTTATTTCGGTGCACCAAGTGATAATTTGTCACCGGTTGCCCCGTCCCCCGATGCCTACTCAGGTGTATAGAAATATGATCCAACAAACGCCTAGATGAGCTCCACCGATTGCAGATACACGATTAGTGGTTGACTCATGAAAGACTGTAGATGGCACGGAGAGTGGAGAGTCGGTAAGAATGAAAATAAACTCCTCCGGACAAAACGCATTCAAAAAAGCAAAGAGTTGGAACAAAGGACTGAGCAACCACATTTGTCTTTCGAGCGCCAACAACTATCTGAGAGATTAACTACTGCAGGAGGCAGAGGGGTGCGGATATTTTCTATTTTGAGGTCTCTGTAACAAGATTGCGGGGACGTCTATGGGTACTGAGGAAGTGTTGACAGAAATTTACTAGTGTAAAATGAAGCACTGCTGGATCGTTCCGACTTTTCTTGTTAACGCTTTGACACCAATGATGAGCAAGTGATTCCTAACTATAGGAAACAAGCAGAAGCAAAAGGACAGATTTGGTGACAGAAAGTAGATTTTTGATGTTGGCACGAGCAATAATTTTGCATAAAAGCTCGTCCCAGCAGCTCACAAGAGCGATAATCTAATCCCTGGTCCGGATAAGCACCAGACGATGGTTACTCCCTATTGGAGCTCGTCAGTGGTACGCATTCCCTCAGTTCCCTGCAGGGACCGATAGCAGTTTGCGCCAACTAACCAGCAGCTTTCTCCATTGAGCCATGGGGGACGGTGGTAGACCGTGAGAACTTGCAAGCTAACTGAGATATAGCGCGACACACCCTGTTCGAGAAGGTCACCTTCAGTATCTCCGCGGGGAGTAATGTCGACACCGTGACGCACAGCAACACTGATTCAGTGTCACTGTATAAGAGAAGAATATTGTCACAATGAACAGAATTTTGGTCGGGCAGTATGAGATTCGTTAAGACGCGGACGTTGTGGAAGCAGTTTCTTGTGCCTCTTCCGAGGCACAAGAAAAGGCACACAAAACTCAGACAGACATCAATGCCGGCAAATGGATGGCAGTTGAATGCAACTCCATCGCCTCAGGACGTTTAGAAAGAACCTCATGCGATCATATGTATGAATTACCGCTTATGAATGTTGATGCGCAGCTGTAAAGTTGTTGCTCCACAAATGATTTGATCTGTTTATATGGAATCGATGTATTCGTAAATGGCATTTAGAAATAAATGAAGTTAAAGACCGGGTGATTACCAAAAAGTTGCGACCAAGTGACTTGCAAATTCATAGCGGCAGCTATGAGCAAAGTCGAGATGGAGAGAAAATACTCCCACTATTTGGTCGAATGAGGCTAAATGAGAAGGTAACAACACCTGGCGACTTGGGTGCATCACCTAAATAATGACAACATAACAAAGTCAAGTCACTCACAGTCAAAGCGTGTAAATGGCTCCCTTTAAAAGCATCGACAAGACGTATGTGGTTGCCATTAGTAGCGATAAGAAGCGTCTTCCCGTCAGCAGAAAACTGCAATCCTGTCCAGACACAGCCCGCTGTTTCGGGCCCTAACTTGAAGGTAGCAAAGGGTCCTTTGTCAAACGATCGGAGGTCATACAACTTGACCGATTCGGAATTGATACCGGCTGCAAAGATCAACCCCTCCGGATCGAAGGCGGCGCACGGTCGTCCAGAAACATGCATGACACCCTGACCGTATGAGAAAAGCAGAGTGATGTAATGTAACTTTAGCAATCGAGATAAAATTGAGGCATTCGGCAACATAATCAGTGCAAAACGAATTTGACTAACAAAGCAGAGTGGAATAATGACCCGATATTGCGGTTGGAGCAATAGACAACAATCACAGTCGTAAGGTGATATAGTATGTGGTGAAAATGTCGAATCTGAAGCTGGATGCCTTACAATTGGAAGTATTATAATTCGGTCTTGACTACAAAGTTCCAGTTAAGCGGTTAAATGAGCTTTCAAGTGAATCGCAATGCGAGAACTTCTGTGATCAAGTGAGAGATCTACATCCAGCCGGCGCTGATAAGCTCATATAGTTGAGAAACGAGCTGGCGGATATTGATTATAATGTTAAACATGGGCAAGTAAAAGAAAAGTATGAGCTTACAAAACCATCTACAAGCGTTACGCGAATTACATACAGAGAATGTGATTCTGCAGTAGTGATCATGATTTAGGATGAATCAAGATGTCAGTCATACCCGAAGCAACTCTATTTCGGATACGGCCCCTGTGATCAGAATGACCGAGATCCCAACAGAGATTGCATGTCACAATCCAACCACACGGCGGGTACTCCAAATACAACTTTGAATTCTTTACTGCTCTGTTAGGCGTTGCTCACGGATCTGTGGGCATAGTAATCAAGGTGTCAGTCGTTAACCACTAGGCCTTGAGTTCTACTCCAGCTTAGGCTATCTCCACCTGGATGAGTCCGAACAAGGACGGAACCGTTGGTTGTGGGGTGTCAGTGTTGAGAGGAGCAACACCGAGTCACTTAATAAAATTCGAATGACTTGAGAGCGCAGAGGATGTGACTGTGGTAGAGTCTCGCATAAAGTCAATTAGAAATACTTGAGCTGCATCGTTTGACTGATAGTGATAATTGTGACGGGTTGTAACCGACTGGTTCCATTACCCCTCAACTATACGGGCTACCTAAGGTATATAAGAGCGGGGTGCAACTCAGACCGATTCTGTAGATGGCAAACGCTCCCCAAGATAAACTGGCTCGCTGGCTGGTGAAAATGTTCTTCCTGCTGAGAGAGTGGGCAGAACTACACAGGCCAAAGATTCCTTCGAGCTTATCGACAAACCTAATGTAACCGAGGAGGTCACGTGCTCGTTGGATGTTTATTAATGCGAGCTGAACCAAACCGTCGACTACATTTGTGAATTAACAGAAAGCTCTCGGTGTCCTCAATCGCTACCAGCCGAACTACCAAGAGAAAATAGTAAGAAGCCTTTGACAAGTGTCCCCAAGAAAATGGTGTTCATTACGCTGCCATTTATAGGCGATTAAAAGGATAGAAGATTTCAGCACCGTCTCCGCCAGGCAGTAGGGAAATGTTATTACGCGGCCGATCTGGTGTTATTGCACCAAGTTAGGAAGTTGCTCCGCAACTCCAACTTAGACAAGCCACACCCTCACGTTACCGTCTCTTGCGTTCATCTATTCCACTCTACTTGTGGTAGCAAGTACGTTGGCCGAACTGAGGACGCTATCCACTAGGATTTCAGGGCACATTTCACGAAATACGGTCGCCAACGGTCCCAAACTGCCGGCCAGCTCTATTGTTCAACACGTCCTGGATTGCACAATGTGCCAACACCCTCATGATTTGTTTTAAGTTATTAACCTACAGAGCAATGTTCGACTGATTCAGTTTGCCGTAGCCTCAGCTATTCGGCGGCTTAAGCACAATTTGTGCAAGCAGACTGAACTTACGGTCAGCCTCGCCCTAAGTTAAATAAATAAGGTTATTGATCGTTTTCCTTTGAACTGAATCACCTTATGTATTGCTTCCCCTTTCGTATGCAACGCGATAATTTCAACAATGTGTGTAAAAGGATGACGAGAACGTATCCTGTTAAAAGGTTTTTTCTTCTTGTTATTTTGAAATTTGTGTGGGGAAAGTCCTGCATGTTTTCTTATTTTGTCTATTTGTAACAGTTGGTATCCTGTAGTAATTTGAAAATGGCAGTAAGAAGACCGAGGCTCTCAAATTCGCACATTTCTTACTGTATTACCAGTACCTTTTACAGTAACTCATATTATTGTTTATTTAAAACATGTTGCGATCAAACGTCCGTTTGTACCATCCAATAATCAATATGATAGGCGGGGTTTTTTACCTTTATTTCCGGGACACTAAGGCTCACCTGTATTTGTTTCTGAGCTCCAAGCATCTGCTTTATCCGGTTAATTTCAACCGGCACTGCGAAACTTAGGAGTCGAGAATTGGTGTGATGTAATGGGATTGTGAACGCTGAAGTTACCTCGATTCGGTGTCTTGTGGTCAGTAAGTGTCCGCCGATCGTACAGGCTGATAGCCTTTGCAAAAACGCAACTTAAGTAAGGACTGTTTGCTACGCGTCGAACATTAAACACACTTAGGCACATGCTCCCTGTTTCGGGAACTCAATGTCTTATCGATTCCGCCTATGTAACTGGCTCCGCAGTCACATGTGAATTAGTGTATGCAATGCGATTTGTCCCCGACAGGTTGAACCTGCTTTAAAGAAGGAATTGGGCGTTTTTGGGTTCGGTTAGTGACAATCACCTTGGTGGCGTAGTAAGCCCTCTGCATGTCACAGATTAGACGCCTTGTTGTCCTCAGCGAAGAAACATCACCCTTGAATGACAGTTCATTGACTGAATGCTTCTTGTTTGGTCTCATTCGCCTATTCTTCTCGATGTACTTACCGATGATAGACGCTTTTCAATACGCGTATTCGTAAGTAACTGCAGTTCATCTAACCAATCATTGGTGCAGATTCCTCTGGCACGATTAATCAATGTTCTCACGGGTGTCCAGTTGTATCGCATTGGTGTGAAGCCAATGAAATGCAGCTACTGGCCGGACCATGTTGGTTTCCTGTAAATAGGCCTCTTAATATGCCCGTTTTCTCTGCGACTGAAGAGGATATCCAAGTACGGGAGGCAATTTTGCTTCTCTACCTCACAGCAGACCTGCATATTGGCATGCGCAGAATTTAGTTGCTCCACCTGATGCTCGATGAACAAAATGCAAAAATATCATCCATGTAGCATTTGCAGTATCGCAGTTGAGATACTCTTCCGGAACTACCTCGTTCTACCATCAACATAAAGTATCGACCCAGTGGACTATTCATCGCTACTTTGATAGTACGGTCTGTTCCTGAAGTGAAAGTTGACATTCTCCGTGCACAACATCAAAGATTCTCTTGGTAGTTCGGCTGGTAGCGATTGAGGACACCGAGAGCTTTCTGTTAGTTCACAAATGTAATCGTATGAATGTCTTCGTCAGATGAAGTGGTCAACACCGACCCAAACAGGAGGGCGGTATGCGCTGGCATGACTAAATCGCTATACCAAGGTTTTCATATCATTTTCTATGCCAGCTATTGGAAGTGATGATTCATACGACAGCGTGTAACGTCCGGGAACAAAGCACACCGATGTAGTCGATCAATAGGTGTTCGATGGATACGACCAATGGTTAAAGGCAACATGTCTCAATGTACTAGTCATACATTATCCATAAGGCAACAACAGCCGCAATGTAAGTGTATACAATACAATACTTTCCCCCGAGAAGCCGACCCACTGTTCCAAAAATGGTTGAAACCGTGTGAAAGTACGGAGCATTATCGGTACGCACCAACACGCCAGCGATGAGCCGATAGCCAGAGGTGATACAAATAGATGAACCGATCCACTACCCTGAGTGACTGTCAATAAAAGTGACGGCATGAGGTGCATTGTGTGGTCCTTGAAAAACAGAACAAACACTAGGCTGCGAACTAAGCTTATCAGAATTAACACATGCGAGCTACTTGGCAAGAGAAAATACGAATTTCTCCCATCGATGCGGTCCACAAGTAGCTTGCCCTCAGCTGAACACTAAGTGTGGATATTCCGCTGTGTTTCTGTGCCAGACATGTGTACCACGCAGTCTTGATCCAGTAACTGCTGTGACATCCACCCGCATGCTCATCAATCATCATTCCACAGCCTAGCTGATGATGAGAAACACATTAGCTTTTGGCGGTAATGAAATTCAAATGGATAGTTGTAAGAATGGAACTAGGAGTAACTCTCAAGTCACATATAGCCAACGCTGCATCCATGATTAACAACACCATCATCATTATCATTATCGACGTCGTCATTAGCGTCATACGCGTTAGCTGGAAAGTAGAAATGCCGCAGCTATTGAGGTGCAATATGATAAAATCATACGGTCGAACAAGTAAGAAAGAAACGATACAAAAACACGGAGCAAACATGTTATTTTCCGCTGTGCATCGCCAGTGACATCGTGGTTGGGGAGGGAAGGGCAAAAAATTCAACTTTTTGTCAGGTTTATCCAGTCAAAAGGGGTTCAGCCTCTTTTGAATCACAAACTAAGAGTCGGAATGTACCAACCAAGGCCAAATTAAAAGTGACGACACCTCCATTCCACTTGAGAAAGTCATCAGTTAGTCTTCTTCCTCTTCCCCCACTCGGATTCGTGTCGCGCAAACTAGGCACGTCGTAGCAATTGGTGTGCGGGAATGCGCAGCACATGACCCAGCTATCGCAGCATGGTGCGTAAAGTAACGGTGTTGAGCGATTAACATCCACTTCCTACGTCATAAACAAAGTGGCAAACACGCTCACCGACCAATCAGGCGTGAGCTAAGATTCCGAAACCCCAGTGATTAAACGCTACATCTGTCGAGCTGATGGGACAGTTTTCGCAAACGTACGCGAGCGTTTCACGGGTGGTAGCATTGTACACCCTAGCATTCATGGAGGTGAGGTCACATAGGTGCAGTAAGTGGCGGCGTTAAAGAAAACCGCCCCGAACCTTTGATCTAAAGTTTGTATCTTCAACAGCGGCTCAAAAGAAACTGATTCAGCTAGCAAGGTAGCTTGTGAACCACTTCGAGATTACGCCAGCAAGGGTCATTGTAGGGGTTGGTCCCTGCCA